GCTCTAACTTATTACTGCAAACAAAAATCATCTCAGTTCTCTAATTTTCTTTACTTGGCTCATGTTTCCCATTCAAGATAGGCATGAAAAACATAATTCTTTTGACCATCTGTTAGCCCACAAACAGCTGCCTTTTGCCAGATTTACTCACTAATACTATCCCTAAAGGCAGGAAGGTAATCAAGTATTGATTATGTTAGTTCAGGAATAGCAGCTTCCAACAACATAAGAAAGGAGGAAGTGATATTTTCTACAAATGAACTCTATCTAAAAGTATTCTCCAACAGCTGTCCCTTACTGATATATTCTTGTCACATGAAATTATGGTGATTGCTTATTCTAAGTATTGGTGACATTGCTAGATTAATTTGAGACTGTATAGAATAAAATAAAAGTGTATAAATATCTAAAATTCAGAATGTACTACCTGCATAACCCCTATTACTGAAAGATTCCAAAATCACTTCTAAAGCTTCTTATAGTGTAAATATTACCACATTTTTTAACTGGGAAAAATAAAGCAGTGAAATCAAATAATTTGTTCTTACTCATATAGAATTGGAAAAAGAGATGGAAAGAGAAACCAGTTCTTAGAAATCCAAGTCCACTAATTTAATTATCTGGTTAGTCACAATTGTATTTATACATCATACTCTATTGCTTTGTGTTGGTAAAGGTAATAATTTTTCAAAAGTGAAAGAAAAATTAATGGAGAGAAAGTAAAAATCAGGGTAAAGTTGTATAATTCACTTTAAAATTATGATCTGTAACTTCACAGGAGGTAGAAACTGGTGGAAAGTACCTTTGGGTTTCCAGTGGTCTGCTACTGAACATTTTATTTGGAATAAGTAGCCCCTATTTCTGCAGTGCTTCAGAGCTTTTACAATAGAACCAACGCTTCTTCATACAAAACTTGGTGCAGGTAGACAGCACTATTGCCAGACATTTTAACCTACACTTTATTTTGTAACCATAACTCTCCATATTCTTTGCTGAATGGAAATGAAATTCATTCTAGTTGAAACTGGTTTGGCAAATTATCCTCCTTGTCAGGTAGTAACTTGGTGGAATTCATACCAAGCTTTTACTGTTTGTAACAAATTCATCCTGGTTTTACATTTAGTATCTTAAACTTTTTGTTCTTAGTGCCAATGTTCAACTTAAGTTGATTTATTTCTTACTACTGGAGATTTGCTCCAACTTTTAGGCTCCATGAACAGTTCCTGTCTTAGATACAGTATGACCTTTGACTTGTCTCAGATGTCCCCAAAAGTGTGAGACCCAATTCACAAGGACATCACTACTACTACAAAATTTTACAGATTGAAGAATAGAAAGACAGCACTGCTTTTTTGCTCCTGGGCTTAAAAATGCATGTACTGCAGTTAAAATGACTAGGTTAATGGCCAAAAGCCAATGTAGAAATGAATTTTCCACTGTTCAAAGAGGCCAACATTTCTGGGGGAGGAGTTTCTAAGGCTGAACCTAAATAATAAAGGATTGAAGTAACTATGGAGCTTTTAAACTTAAAAACTCTCACATTGTTTTCTCTGACACTTTTAGTTTCATCTTAACCTTTTTGTTGTGAGAACCATTTGGATATTCGTTTATGCTTGGTATTAACTTTGGAAGGTCATACTAATTCATTGTTTTTGATGTTGTAAATTACATAGACATTTCTCAAGCCTACATCAAGAACTATTTACCTTATTTTAATAAGCTAAACAATGAATATTAAGAAAGAACACAGGGGGGGCACACACAAACCCCCACTTCCATACACACCCCCACAGCATGAGTTCAGTCCCTGGCACCAGGGAGCTGACCCATGTGGTGTAGCAAACCTCTTCCCTCAGCAATGTATTTTGGTAGATCCATCTGTTTTGCTCCCCACTCTGTCTTTGGAGAATCTCTCACTCCCCTCCCCCACATCTAGCCTACACCATATTTCTCATATGAATAAATAAATAAATCTTTAATAGAAAGAATGTAAATAGATTGGGGGGCTACTATCTGTGATTGTCTGCCATAGGACATAGCTAACTTTGTATTGATTTCCTTATGCTTTTACCATTCAGACTTGGCTTATAAGATTTTTACAAGATTCTTAAAATAGTTTCATCTTTTTATTAGTAAATAACCAATTTTTTTTAAAGATTTATTGTGCATACAGAACTGGGGTACAGGCCAGAGACTGAGGGGCGGCAAAAGACTTCACCAGAGACAGAGTGGGGAGCAGAACAGGCAGATCGATGAAGCACAATGCTAAGGGGAGCAGCGGGCAGGTCAGGAGAGGTTTGCCACACCATGTGGTCACCTCCGGGGCAGGCGGGAATCGAACTCATGTGGAAGTGGTTTCAGCTTTTCAGTGCAGTGCTTTAACCCGCTGCGCCACCAGGGAGGGCCAGTAAATAACCATTTTTAAATGATGTTACTAGATTTTTAAAATTATTGAAATTGTATTCCTTCCCAATGGGATTATAAAATGCTACTGCTTCTCTGGAAAATAGTTTGGCATTTTCTTATAAAGTTAAACAGAGACCTGGCATATGATGCAGCAGTTGAACTCCTAGGTATTTTTCCTGGAGATAGGAACATTAATGTTCACACAAAAACCAGTAAGTGCTTGTTGATAGCCATTTGTTTTATTTGTATTTGTCAAAAACTGTAAACAACCATAATTTTTTTCAGTGGGTAAGTGGATATATAAAATATGATACTTTCACACTCTGGAAAACTACCAGGGAAAGACAAGGAATAAACTATTGATACATTCAGCAAATGAGATGGCTCTTCAGGGCATTGTGCTAAGTGAAAAAGTCAATCTCAAAATGTCACATGCTGTATGACTCCATTTATATAACATCTTACAAAGATAAAATTGTAGTGATTGAGACCAGTGACTGCCAGAGGTTAGGACTGGCGGAGAGGGTGTGGTTATAAAGGGGTAGTATGAAAGAAATCCTTGTGTTAATAGAATGGTTATGTATTTTAATTATGGTGATGACCATACAAACTTATATATGTGATAAAAATTCAAAATGCAGTGCTCAACATACACGCAACCCATATGTGTTATATAAGAATCCAAATAAGGTCTGTAGTTTAGGTTAAGTCTTTTACCAAAGTCATTTTCCTAGTTTAGACAATGTACTATGGTTATATAAGTTATCATTGGGTAAAGCATGACAGGAACTCTACAGTTTCACATCGTGTGAATCTTAAAGTAGTAAACCCAAAATAAGCATAAAGAGACCCCAAAGAACCTGAAGAGGGGATTTCTGATGAGGACTGAGTCATTCACCCCAGGTCACCTCAAAACTTTAGGAGAAGGCCCTACAGAAGGTAGAAAACAGAGAGGACACATAGAATTGGATTATAAAAGGTGACTGGACTGCCAGGTTCCCTTTATTACCCCAAACACCACTACTATCTGCAGCTCCCTCTGCCTAAAAATTCTCTAGAGAAAGGCCACTGCCCCCGTTACTGTTTTGTGGTTATCTATCTACTTGCAAGTCTATGTGACTTCCTGTCTAGTCAACAATGGCCCTGTATATGTACTCACCCTTTCATAGTGAGCATTTTAGGACTTTAATCTATGAACTGATTAGATCCTTGAATCCTTGATTGGGCCAACAGCTATTTTAGGAAAACTTCAACACACACCGTAAAGATAGAGAAATACCAAACAATAAAATGAAATAATGAGGTATGGGAAACCAGAAGAAAACACAAAAAAACCTACAACTTAATCATAGAAGAGACATCCATAAAACAAGAACAGGATGCTTTTTAAAAGGAATAATGAGAAAACCTGAAAAAGCTCAAATTAGAAACTTTAAACGCTTTAAAAATAGAATAAGTCCAGTATGAAAAATCCTCATTAGAGTTCAAAACAAGGAAGAGAAACAAAACAAAACAGTATTTTTCAGACCCAAAGGACATACTTTTCTATGTGGATAGTGTCTATTGAGAAAAAAAAAGTATTAAAACGCTAAGACAGACCTTTATGTAGTTTCAGGACACAGATAAAGAGCAGTCTTCTAGAAATAAAAAGAGAAAAATGTCATGCAAAGATAGAAGAAATGATGCTTAACTTCTCAGCAACCAAAGTGAATTATTAAAGATGGCAGAGTAGTGTCTTAAAAATTCCAAGGGAGAATTATTTTCAGTCTATAATACTGTACTTAGCAAAATATCCATTTATTGTCAAGATAAAGATAATTACAGACACATGGGGACTCAGACTTCTTACACATTATTTCCTAGGTTCCAGGAATTAAAAATTATGAAAGAGGAAGATGAGGGATCCAGTTAATGGGAGATCCAACACGGGAGGGGAGTTGCAGAAAGGTACATGCAAAGGCAACCACGTGACAGGGACAGTCAGGCCAGAGTGAACAAGAGGACAGAGAGTCCTTGAAGTTCTGGATAAAAATGAAATTGGAAGATTTGTTGACAATTTTGTACAGTGGAAAAATAATACAGGTGTACTTTTGCTACATCGGGTAGAATCAAGGACTATACATAGAAAACTAAGGGGCGGGGGAAATGAGCCAATTTTTCATCCCAGGAAAGCCAAAAGAGCTGCACCAAGAAAGGAAATGCAATTCTCAGTCCCTTCCTTGCTTTGTAGTGACCAGTATTTACAAAGTCATACTAAAACCTGATTATTGACAGGTTTGTCCTACTACCTGAAAGTAGAATGTTATGATTTAGTAGGTTAGTTTTGGGATCTGAGAACACTCAAAAATTATTTAATATAAATTAATGATAGCAACTTTCATAGACCCAAACAAAACAACCTGCAGGATTATAGTTGCCTTGCAAGTGCCCTGCTCCATTGAGGAGGAGTATGTGCCATTCATAGTTTTTCAGTCAATTTCATGAGTTTGTAGAATGTACAATCAAGTATATATAGGGATCCTTGTTTAATATCACATGTTCATCTATTGTTTGCTTCTTTTATTAACTTGCTTGTTATATTTGTTTGACAGAATGTTATGGAACAATTCAATCCTGGTCTCCGAAATTTAATAAATCTAGGAAAAAATTATGAGAAAGCTGTTAATGGTAAGTCTTTTTATTTTCTAAATTTATACATAGAGCTGCTATGAAAATCACCTAGTAAATACTTTTACTGAATTTAATGTTTAATATTGCATTTTTAAAATAATTTCAAGTTTTTTTAAATAACTGGAATTTATAATTTAATCTATAGGACTTTGCAATGGTAATATATTAGTGTATGTGAAATTAGTAAACTAAATAGGTTATCTAGGTCATACACCTTTAATCATCAAATCATGCTTTTTGACATGGTTTAATCTTTTATATCATTGCCATAAACACTGTTCTCTACTTTTTAAACCAAATTCTTTGAGAGCAAATAGCATACATAAAATATGTACTTATAGTATTTATGTTGCTATCCTGCCGCATGGAAGTTACCTTTCCCTTTTTCTATATATATAAAGATTTTTTTTTATTTTGGGCATATTATTTGATATGAAGTAAAATGAAAAATAAAAAGTTAAGTTTAATGGAAAACGTCTAAATTAAAGGTTGAACTTATATCCTCATTGCAAAATGAGTGCTTGTTTAAAATGAATTCAAGCATTGAATTGACAGCTGGTGTCTGGCAGTTTGAAAGGCTTCATTGAAGAAGCCGACACATCTGTACTCATGTATTTCCCTACTAAAATGTGATCAATGATCACCTTAAAAACCTGTGATGTTAGCAATTACCAAATGCCAACATAGCTAAAACAGTTCTTCCTAGGTAACAAGTGTCAAATCCAAAATTATTCAGACCTTGGTTTCACCCTCTATCCTAAGACCACCCAGTGAATAAATAGAAAATTTAGTTTCCCAGGGTTTTAGATTCAGATGACCTCAAATTACGTTTTGTATCTTTTACATATCTCTCCTGTATTTCTTTTGCCATTACCAACCTTTGGCTTCTCTCTGTTGATATTTTAAAAACAAACCTTGGCCTCACACACCCTCAACAGGAGCATGCCCCAGCAAAGCAAGTATACTGGCTTGACTTTGGACTTTTGCTGTCCTGTGCACTATAGCTGCAACCACACTTATTTACTTTCTTCTGGAGCTCTGTACTATTTGCCTTTTCAGGGTTGGGAAATGCAGCATGCCTGGCTTTTCCCCTCTTGCCTTCCAGTATCAGTGACTTCTGTGGGAACCCTACCGCCACCGCCCCCCCCCCCATCCCCTAACCACCTTCAAAAAGCAGGTACTTTGTTTTTGGAAGTCTTGCACAGCTGACTCTCTCTCCCTTGGCAATTGCTTAGTCACAAGGCCACAAAGTCATTGCGGTAGATGTCCCTGTGAAGTAAATCACTGTGACCTACAGTGTGTGTATGTTTCTTTCTAGTATGAACTTCCTCTCTGAAGCACAGTTTTATAAGGTGACTAAGGAAACTGCTGGTGGCTTAACATCCTGCTATCTAGGCTCCTCCCCAAAGGGCTCTTACCACTTTAACACCTCCTGGGGGCTATTCTACACTTCATAAGATATTTCCAGAATTTCTGCAGGCCATCTGTATTTGATGAGGCCACTGAGAAATTTAAATACATAAAATTCATGTTAAGAATTTATAGTATGGTTGAGTATGTACAGTCAACAATTAGGTTAATCTGGGCTAACAAAGAGGATGGGATGAGCCCTGCCATAGGAATTTGAGTGGTAGAGGTCTGTGGGGAACAGAGTAGGCAAGAAGCCTGGTAGGAACTGAACTAGCTGATAGATGTTAGGTTTCAATAGGCAGCCTCTGCTTATGAGTACTTAAGCCAGAAAATACAGCATCCAACCCAGAACCTTCCCCCCACTCTCACTGTGAGATGCTGATGTCAGATTATTAAAGTATTTGAATGCGACCTTATTTATCTATTGCCACATGACAGAGTTACCCTCAATGTGGTGGCTTAAGACAACAGCAGTTTATCATTTTCTTGGTCTTGGGTGGCTCAAGACAACAATAGTTTATTTCTCATGACCCTGAAAAGGTAGTGCAAGTTCTCTGGACCTGCAGTTCATTCCTGCGTCTGAATCAACTAGGGCTGAACTAGGCTTGGCATTCCCTTCCCAACGCTGTTTCATAAGTATAGGCCCACATAGGAGTTACACTGGTCGATACTCACTAGTTAAAGCAAGTCACTGAACTCAGCCACCCATATGTGGGAATTCTGGGAGATATGATGCATTGAAGGCCATTACTGTAAAAATCTGCCATGAACTATTTGGACTGTGGACTTACCTGATGGACAGTCTATATATGTTAAAGAGAAATTATCTGATAGGATGTAGATTTAATTGATGAAGTATTTGGTCAACCACTAAAATTGAAATGACATGCTTCATTCCTTAAAACAGTAAGCGGCAGAAAGTCTCTTCACTTGTTCGCAAAGAGAGTAAGGGCAAAATTATGAAAATATTTTATTTTTTATTAGTTGTGAGTAAATTATGCAATATTTAAGGTTAATTCAACATCATAAAAGCAAGGATGGTTTACTAGACTGAGAAAGTTAAAGAGTTTTAAAAATAAGTCAACAGTAAATGAAAAATTTCATTTTAATGTGGAATGCAAACCGAAAATTTTGTTTAAATCTTGTGTAATCCCATGTACCATTCTCCTGCTAATTTGCTTTTCAGTTTATCAGTACCTGGTGATTTGCAATCTTCATGCTAAAATATAACATATATTAACTTGACAGTTTACTGGCTACAAATCTTGTTGTTAGGTGGAGTCATCTCCTTTCAGCTCTAGCTGAGACCAAGAGCCAAAAAGCACCATAATTTAGAAGTGAAGTATTTCATCTGCAGTTATGTGCACTGCCTCTGACTCCCAACTGACCTTGGGCATGTCCCAGAATATCTCTGCTCCTTCATGAAATGGGGTAATAGAATCACTGACCCATGTCTTAACATTGTCAGGTAGATTAACTTACTAAGTGAGGCCTTGGAATATCTGTATAAAGTTATCCTCAGTCTCATGAGATGACAGTATCACAAGCACTGCATTTCCTAAACTTATACATAGAAAAAGGCTACCACTTTTACAAGTTTTAACTCTACAATAAATGCTAAAATAGATTAATGTGCCATACAAATACTGCTTTTTGGGCCCACAATATTTTTGACTATATATATATTTCATTCATTTTTGTGACACGCCCTCCCCACAATTTTTTATACTTGAATGCATTTTAAAATCCATCTTTTAAAAGAATACCCACTCCAAATTGGGGCAAGCAGCTAGTATGGCCTTTAGTTTTCTTCATAGTGAAAGAAAAGGAATCTCAGAGACCCAAGGGTAATTTTAGCCCCCAAATCCTGTGGTCTCCAATGCTACGGGAGAAATGGCATTTCTATGTATGAAGCCAGTCTTTGAGTAAAATGAAATAAATTATTTTCTTCAAAATCACACTAACGAGGCAGGTCTTGTTGTTGGAAGCAGCCCAAATGCCCAAAAGTAGATGATTGGATTAAAAAGATGTGGTACATATATACAATGGAATATTACTCAGCAACCAAAAAGAGAAACACATGTCTTGCAGCAACTTGGATGGAGCTGGAAAAGATCATGCTTAGTGAGATAAGCCAGAATGAGAAAGAAAAATACCGGATGGTTTCACTCATAGCAGGAGTATAATGGAACAGGTGCGAAAATAACAAGAATAATGAACAACCATATACCAGAGACATTTTGTGGGGGTGGAGTGGGGAATGGGATCAAAAACGGGGGGGGGGTAGAGAGGAAAGTGCACGGGATTATGGTGATGGCACACGGGTGACTTGGTGATGGGAAACCCGCGGTGATTACAATTGAGATGGGAAAAAAAATGTACAAAATGATGTAAAAATAAACTGTTAAAAAAAATAGAGAGAGTGTGTGTCTTCAAGTCTATTTAAAAGGAAAAATTAGATCTTGCTTGTATAGCAATAAAGTTTCCTATCACTGCCAAAAAAAAAAAATAGACTCAGTTATTTTTGAAAAAATCTCATTGCTTTTTGGAATGACAATAGATTTTGCAATTTGTAAATTTGCCCCTGGCAGTACATATGTTATTATTTGTGTCTCAGAATGTCTTTTTCAATAGAAAAAGTAAAAATGCCACTAGAACACCAGATTCCTGGGCCACCCCACACAAGTCCAGCTAGTAATGTTGCAGACCCAAGTGCTGCAGAATAATCAGCTGGGAAAAGGGCTTGTGCTGGAGTAGATAAGCTCCCAACACTTGTTCGATGCTGGGAACACATTCATTCTGGCACCGGCATCTGGAGCCTGCAGGGCCTTCTCTGGACTTCCAGCATCTGCTACTAAGGGCTCCCCAGAGTTGGTCCAAGGTGGGGGCTTGGAGGCCCTCCTATGGATGGGGGAGTTCCTGCCCTAGCACAACTGTCAAGCACAAGTAATGCCTTCTGCAGCCACTCTTGACACAAGTCCAAACCTCCCTGCAGCCAGACTGAGAAGGGTGGGGGCGGGTATTAGACAGGAAATCTGTGTCACTTCTCTCTAAGTCATGGTTTTGTGTGTCTCTTTCTGTCTAGCTATGATCTTGGCAGGGAAAGCCTACTATGATGGAGTGGCCAAGATTGGTGAGATGGCCAACGGGTCCCTCGTGTCAACAGAACTGGGTGAGTTGACCATTCGTTATATGTAAACCCAACTTGAGCTGCGGTTCTGGGGTCTTTTACCCTGTGAGCCCTGATAAGAACACAGGAAGTGGCTCCAATCCAGAATCTTAAGGAGAGCTGGACAAGCACTCCAAATTACGCACTTCAGGTGATTGAGTTCTCTGCAGTCTGTTAAAATAAGTGGAAGCTCAAGGAGAGCAGGCCACGGCTGGTGACCCGCCTCCAGCTCCCTGAAACTCACCTCTGCCCCTGGGGCTGGGGCCATAGCCCTTCCCCTCTGGTCCCTAAAGCAAGCACCAAGCCCAGGGAGCTTTGACCTACATTCTTAATTGAAGGAGATGGGCACGCGGGGCCTGCAGACTCTGGCATGAGTGTGTCCTGTGACTCACCAGGCAGAAAGTTAGACTCCTTCTCACTGGGCTCTTGGCTCTTGCTGCTTCCAGAGTTGCTCTCAAGTTGTGATTTTTCCGGTTTTGCTGGTATGAATCGGTCTCCTGTGCGCACGCGGAGGGCAGCCACACCTTTGGTTGGGCCAGCTGCGGAGGAGACCTGGTTTCTATTTACAGAGTCTGTTCACTGTACCATCTCCTGAGGGGAAGGTTGAGGTTTTTAATAGCCTCACATACAAGCATCATTTTTAAAAAATGTTGAGTGTTTTATTTTATAGAGGGTCAATTTCTGGCTTACAAACATTCCTCATAATGTGAAAGGTTCAGAAAACTAGGAGGAAATTGTGTGGATGTATGTGTGTTTAAAGAATAGTCTAATTAAAAAGTGGAAATGGAAGTGGAGGAGGGCATAGGGGCTTGTGTTTAAGATTCCAATAATTAACACCATTTTTCTCTATGTCTGTGTGTGTGCGTAGACATATAAAATGTCCACCTATACATATGTGTATACACACACACACACACACACACACACACAGTGCCTTGAGTATTTTCAAGATTGAACCAAAAAAGCAGAGGGACAAATTAGAGGTGTGATGACTAGTTGGTCAGTGTTGCCAGATGTGAATTGGACCTGGCCTTCCTGGGCCTTCATCAGCATTCTCCCACAGCTTTTACATTGTAGGAGTTTACAACAAGTCTTGAAACCTGTAAACAGAAGGCTGACTATAAGCTCAAAGTGATGCTATATGATGAATCCGTCAGCACTGCTATATTTAACAGAACCGGTTACATGCAGAAAAATAGCAAAAGCCTGATTTGTGTTCTGTTAGTGCCGTAACTTCTGTGTGTTCTAGCGAGGTCTGTACTAGAGTAACTCTATCCTAAGCAGGATCAATTTATAAAATACACCCAGAGTTATGTAGACAGAAGCCAACAGTAAAACTTAGGACATTTTAGGGGGGGAGGTGATTGAGATGATTACAGGCTTCCAAAAATAGGACTAAGTTAAAAAGAAACACCCTGTGGTGTCAGGCATGGGGGAGGGGAATGCATGTCCCTTGCCTTAAAACATATGGTGCTCTGATTCACCATGGTTCTGTTTGCCTTTTTAATCTTTTATGATTCTTGCCACTGTTTAAATAGGACTTCTGTTCCACACCTTACTTTATTCAGCTGAGTTCATGTTGAATCAACTTTTTTCCACAGCAACCGTGTTGTTATAAACATGGGCTTAAAACATCAGTTTCAGTAAGGAAAAAGTGTTGCAATGGTGAAGTTACTTTCATGTGGATATGTATTTTATTCCAAGGAAATGGAAATCACTTTTGCAGTGTTTTATTTTTGGCTCAAGTTGTTTATATTCACTATTGTCATAATGATTAATTTTCTACTAATTTATGGCAATTTCATGATAAAATGCTATCCTAGTTAGAGCATGTTTTAGAGGTTTTTTTTATTTTCTTAGCTTTTAAATTTTTGTTGTTTAAAATAAAAAAATAAAACTGCCCTGCATTTTTAAATTCTCTGTATGAGTTATGGACAGTGCATAGAAAAAAGAGAACGGTCTCAGGAAGTTTGCTGAGATTTTACTGTTACTGACTTTTAGTACTCGTATCCATTAACATGATTGTGAAACTTATAAGTAAACATGAAAATTCCATCTGATAAAACTGAAGAGGTAATACATATGTGCAACTCACGACTCATCTCAAAATTCTCATTTCTTAAAGAGCATCATCTGAGAAATCATTATTTTTCCACAAAAATAATCTTATAAAAAATTCAATGAAAAGTTTTGCTGTGAAGGGACAAGAAAGGAGGGAGACTGCAGAGTTCTTATTTCTAGAAGTTTGGTTTCAAGAGCATTTTTCATTTTAATGTTGAAATTTTTAAAAAGAGCTAAAAGCTGGAGGAGAACATTTATTAGTCTGGGCAACTGTGATATTAAAGGTTTTGTTTTGACGATTTTTTTTTTTCTGTCCAAAATCCTTTTTTATAAAACTCTTGTAGTTCAATAGGAAGTTTTTTCTCTGGAGCACACTGTACAACCCAGGTGTCACTATTGTCATCTATGATTGTATTGTCAAAGTCAAAAACCAGCAAAATTTTCATGGTTCCAGAAACAGATTCAGGTTATCCCAACTTAGTATTTCCAAGACAATTTTACTTCAGCATAGAGCTTAAGTTAAACAGCTTTTACAATCTTCAATTTTAAGCACCAGCATGTTGACCAACATGACTCCTATTCTATATGAAGAGAACAAAATCTTCTGGATTGGAGGAAAGGACTGAAGACATCTTAATTCCAGCAGTATTAAAGTAGATCATCTCATAGAAAACCAAGCCTGGGCCGCCCGCACACCTGCCGGGTGGGTCCCAAAAGTAGGCGCCGGAACTAAGTTTGGAGTCGTCAGGCTTGAGACTTGCGTTGGTTGAGGATAGGCGCGTCAGGCCAGGCCAGAGCCGGAGGGCTGCTGACGGACCTAGGCTGGGCAGAGGTCGCCGTTGGTGTGCCGGGAGCGTCTTTGGCGTGCGCGCCTCAGGTCTCCGGTGTTGTCCTGTTTTGGTGATTTTAATGAAAGGAATAAAGTTCCTGCTGTAGCTGTGCTGTGGATGGCAGCACCTCTGCATTTCACTTGTCTCTGGCTGGAGTAATGCTTCCCTCCTCCATGGGGTTTCACATTGGTGGGTTTACTTCGCTGCTATTTCTCCTGGGCCCTTACTACTGGACCCCTTTACTTCAGAAGCCTACTGCACTGCCTTCCTTCTGAGTCCTTCCCTTTTTGCGAAGTGGGCCTCCAAATACAGGGGAATAGTTATTGGGTAAGTTTTTGTTTTTTCTGCCCTTGTGATTTTTTTCAAGCCTTTAGGCATCTTACAGTGGTGATACAGGTGCACTTTCTCTGCCTCCCTTTCTCTCTCTTTTCTTGGCTTCTCTTGCCTGCCTGTGTCTGCATGGTCTCATGCTTTAAAACTGGGGGACAAAAGAAGATAAGACATCACCTGCGACTGCACCGCTCTGCAACACTTGAGCTTTACCAATGCGGGGTGTGCCCAGATGAAGGCAACACGACTGGGCTGTTGGAGGATAAAGGGGGTGCTAAGGTTTTGAGGTCGAAGGATGTGTCTCTGCTACCACTTCAGTATGCACAAGTGTTCAAGAACTCAGAAAATAGTTGGTTTTTTTAAAGATTTTCCGTAAAGTGGGTAATGTAAGTTTGTTGGGATATACGTTTCCCTTGATTGTTCATCAACCAATTTTTCGTTTCTCACCACTGTGTCTTTGGTTTTTATTTCATGAATCTCTACTCAGCACCCTTGTTTTCTTCTACTGTCTTTGGGATGACCCTTATTTTTTCCCCTGTTTCGGAATGGTAACTTTAACTCATTGCTTTTAAATACAGCCAGTCACTTTTGCACAGCATACAAATAGCCATGCAAGTCAGCACTGTGTCACCTGAACAACCAATGGGGAAAACTGTGATTGTCCTGTGTCCTTTAAAAAGGTTTACTAAAAACACACTTTTAAATGTGTAACATTTATAGGGGGTACAAAAAAAAGTAAAACTATTATTTATTTAGCACACAGTAATTGAAAGCATTAGAAATACGGAGAACTAAAGCATATTTATTTATTTGTAAAAAAATTACATAGTTGTTTCAATAGTGCTGTCTTATTATCTTATTATCTTTTTTTTTTTTTTTTTGGTTGTCTCATCTTAAGCTAAGAGTTGAGCATCTTTTCTGTTTTTCAAATCATCATGCTTCTGAGTTTAGATTTGGTTATACTGTGCATTTCAAATAAATGGAATCATATAGTATACAATCTTTTGTGACTAGTTTCTTTCACTGAGCATAATGATTTCAAAGTATCTATCAATACTTCATTTCTTTCTATGAATCGATGATCTTCATTGTGTAAGCTGTGTCATATGTTGTTTATCCCTTTATCAATCAGTGGACATTTTTGGTTATTTCCACCTTTGACTTCTAACAAAAATGCCTCTGTGAGCATTTGTGTATGTATTTTGTGTGTATGTATGTTTACATTGCTGAATCAAATAATAATAATTGTTCATCTAACCTTTTGCCAGGCGGTTTTTCAAAGTGACTATACCCTTACACATTCCCACCAGCCGTGAATAATCATTCCAGTTTCTCCATGTCCTTGTAAACAGTTGTTACTGTGTTTTGTTTTAATTGAAGTCATCCTAGTGAGTGGGAAGTAGTATCTCATTTTGGTTCAGACTTACGTTTCCCCGAGATTGATGATGTTGAGCACCTTTACTGTTCTTTCTGGTTATTGCTTATCTTTGTACACATTTCTATCCTGGCCAGCACCTGTTTGTAAATAGGATTTTATTATAACAGAGCCAACCCTTGTCTTCATGTATTTCCTTGGTTCCTTTCAGGCTATTGTGGCTGAGTTGAGTAGTTGCAGTGGGGAAGTTTGGCCTGCAAATCCTAAAATATTTACAACCTGGTCCATGATAGGCCCTTGTCCTGCTGGTAGGTGACCTTTATTGTCCTACAGTTGCATAAATGTGAGGCTTGAGCGATCACGTGAGAGATTTGATATCCTTTCTCCAAAGAAAAAGTAGTTCCATG